CCCAGGCTGGAGTGCAGTAAGCTATCTTGGCTCACTGCAACCTTGACTTCCTGGGCTCAACTGATTCTGCTACCTCAGCCTCCCGAGTAGCTAGGACCATAGGTGCATGCCACCACGCCTGACTAGATTTTGTATTTTTTTTGCAGAGACAATGTTTTGCCATGTTGCCCAGGCTGGTCTTGAACTCCTGTGCTCAAGCGATCCACCTGCCTTGGCCTCCCGAAGTGCTGCAATTACAGATGTGAGCCACCGTGCCTGGCCCCATGCTCTTTATATAGCCTCTCCCAGACACCACACTTGCAGGCTGAAGGCGGACACTAAATCCAGTCTTCCGAGAGCCTCTAGTTCAGTGGGGGAGACACAGGTCTTGCCACCAGGGACTCTCAGCCATGTGGAGAAGTTACAGTTCCCAGCAGAAGAGGGGTAGGAGGGAGCAAACACTTGGTGCTTACTACGTGCCAGGCACTTTGGATAGGTCTCTCTCTCTCTTTCTTGCTGCAAAGTCTCATTTTCCAGATAAGGCCTAAAGCTCAGAGAGCTAAAGCAACTTGTTTTAGGTTTCCTAGTGAGCCCAGTGAGCCTAGTGAGCACAGCTGGGGTCAGAATCCAGGTCATCCTGACGCTCGCACTGTGCTGATTCTTGTAGCACGGAGGGCCATTGGCTCAAGGATCATCTTTCTCTTTTAATTTTTTTATGGTAAAAAGATACACATATATTTAGAATTAGCCAGCTGGATTCAGTTTAGATGATCCCAATTTTGTTGGCAACATCCAAAGCATCGTAATCAGGAGCCAGTCCAACATATGTCTTCTCTCCATCAGGCTGAATCAGGGTGTTGACCTGGGCCACATCAGTGTCATAGAGCTTCTTCATAGCCTGTTTGATCTGCTGCTTGTTGGTTTTAACATCCACAATGAACACAAGTGTGGTGTTGTCTTCTATCTTCATGGCGGACTCAGCGGTCAGCAGAAACTTGGTGATGGCATAGTAGTCAAGCTTGTTTCTCCTGGGGGAGTCTTCCGAGGATATTTGGGCTGCCTCTGGAGTTGCAGTGTCTTGGGCCACCGCAAGGTGGGTGACCTGCGGATCTTTTTTTTGTGTGGCTGTGGACACCTTTCAACACTACCTTCTTGAGTTCGGCTTTAGAAGGGGCAGGAGCTTCCTTCTTCGCCTTCAGTGCCATCTTGTGAAAAAGGATAATCTCTAATGAAGGCTTTCAGCCTGTATGCCCTGAATGTAGAACTGACCACCTGTGGCTCTGGATCCCCATTGTGCCCCATATGAACATCTCCCAGGGCACCTGCACACTTCTCAGATTTATTTTATTTACATACTATCTTCCCTCATTAGGCAGTGAGCTCCTTGAGGACAGGGGGTGATCTTGGTCATCTCTGCCTCCCTGGTATGTAGCATAAAGCCTGTGCATATTAGGTATTCAGTAAATGTGTGTTGCATGAATGGTGGGAGGTGCTTGGAAGGCCTCTTCCTGTGCATCTTCCTGCCTCCTTGGAATTAACCCAATGATGAGGGGTAGAGGGACACCAGAGGATGGACTGAGGGGCTGGGGTTGAGGTGTGGGAATGTCTTGTCTGGCAGCCTTTCCAGATTCCCACACTCACCTGCACTCACGCTTCATCCCAGGCATGCTGCATGACATTGTCCAGCCTCTCCTGCACTCCTGCCTCTATGTCCCGGCACCTTTTCTCCTCTTGGGTTTGCTGACCAGGGGACATGTCTGGCATTGGGAGCAGAACTATTCTTTTCCATTCCATTTTATTCTCACAAGAGCTTCATGAGGTAGGATGGGTGGAGATGCTCTGCCTCCATGTTACAGCTAAGATGAGTCAAACTCCAAGTTCACACAAGTTGGTGGTAGAACAGGGTCCAGTGATGATGGGGGCAGTTTTCTTTCCTTTTCTTCTTTTCTCTTTTCTTTCTTTCTTTCTTTTTTTTTCTTTTTTGAAATGGAGTTTTGCTCTGTCGACCAGGCTGGAGTGCAGTGGCGCAATCTCAGCTCACTGCAACTTCCGCCTTCCAGGTTCAAGCGATTCTCGTGCCTCAGCCTCCCCAGTAGCTGGGACTACAGGCGCGTGCCACCACGCCCGGCTAATTTTTTGTGTCTTTAGTAGAGATGAGGTTTCACCATGTTAGCTACGATGGTCTCGATCTCCTTACCTCGTGATGCGCCTGCCTTGGCCTCCCAAAGTGCTAGAATTACAAGCGTGAGCCACCGTGCCTGGCCTGGGGGCAGTTTTCTGAATCAGGCACAGGCTGGGCTTCCCCAGGGACTTGAGGAAGCTGGTTCTGTTTGCCCTTCTCCAAGGCATATGGGGCAAAAGGGTCCCCACTTCATCTCTGAGATGGAATGGAGAGAACCCCAGAATCTTGGCCCCATCACTTTCCAGCCCTTCTGCAGTCTTGATGGTTGCCAGTAGGTGCCGTCAGTTTGCAACTTTTTGGTCTGTCCTGCAGGTCCGGCTGCCAGTCCCAATCTCCCTGCAATCATCTCTCAGTCTGCACTTGCAGGAAGTAGGAGATAGCCCAACCCCCATGAGGCTGAAAGACTCCTGTCCTGGGGAAGCAGGAAGGGGGTCTCTGAACTGCATTTCAGCTTGGTTGACCTGCAGCTTTCCAGGCCAAGACAAAAACAAACAAACAAACCAACCAACCACGGTGGGTTACTGATTATTCCTGGACAGGTACCCTTATCCTGAAACCAGCTCCAGTACAGCAGAAACCTTTGTAGGGGAGGATGGGTGGGAATTAGGGGGGTCCTGAAAGGGAACCTAGGAGATGGGTCTTTGCTCCAAATGCTACTGCAGGGCTCTTCTCAATTTGGGCAGGATTGGGCAAGGTTGTGGGAATAGGGGCATCAATAGGACTTCACAGAGGGTCAAGCCAGGCCCAACACTAGCCCAAGTAGCAACACTGGGTGAATTAAAAAAGCATCCCTTCCTTAAAATTCTTTTTTTTTTTTTTTTGAGACAGAGTCTTGCTCTGTCACCCGGGCTGGAGTGCAGTGGTGCGATCTCAGCTCACTATAACCTCCTCCTCCTGGGGTTCAAGCGATTCTCCTGCCTCAGTCTCCCAAGTAGCTGGGATTACGCCAGCATGCCTAGCTAATTTTTGTATTTTTAGTAGAGATGAGGTTTCACCATGTTGGCCAGACTGGTCTCGAACTCCTGACCTCAGGTGATCTGCCCACCTTGGCTTCCCAAAGGGCTAGGATTATAGGCATGAGCCACCACGCCCGACCTTCTTTTACCTTCCTTCCTTCCTTCCCTCCCTCCCTCCCTTTCTTTCTTTCTTTTTTGTTTTTTTTGTTTTTTTTTTTTTTTGAGGCGCAGTCTCGCTCTGTCGCCCAGGCTGGAGTGCAGTGGCCGGATCTCAGCTCACTGCAAGCTCCGCCTCCCGGGTTCCCGCCATTCTCCTGCCTCAGCCTCCCGTGTAGCTGGGACTACAGGCGCCGCCACCACGCCCGGCTAATTTTTTGTATTTTTAGTAGAGACGGGGTTTCACTGTGTTAGCCAGGATGGTCTCGATCTCCTGACCTCGTGATCCGCCCGTCTCGGCCTCCCAAAGTGCTGGGATTACAGGCTTGAGCCACCGCGCCCGGCCAACCTTTCTTTCTTTCTTGACAGAGTTTCCTTCTTTCACCTAGGCTGGTGTGCAGTGGCATAATTCTAGCTCACTGCAGCCTCCAACTCCTCGGCTGATTCTCCTGCCTCAGGCTCCCGAGTACCAGGGACCACAGGCGAACGCCACCACACCCGGCTAATTTTACAATTTTTTTTTATAGAGACAAGGTCTCACTACATTGCCCAGAGTGGTCTTGAACTCCTGGGCTCAAGTGATCCTCCAGCCTCAGCCTCCAAAATGCAGGGATTACAGGTGTGAGCCACTGCTGCAGGCCCCTCAAAAATCCTTCACTGCCATCTGGGAAATAATCACAACAGCTCTACAAATACATAATGACTACAAGGAATGGGGCCCCACTGGAGTTGTTCAACGCAAAACTTGCACACTGCAAATGGCAATCTCCCAGGCCTGCCTCCCTCCACGAGTGGGTCTGAGTGGGCCTGAGAGGCGAACATTCAGGAAGGAGGAAGAGGCTCGGTGGCACCTCCCTCCCCGGGAGTTCCGCTGATTCCATCCTGGGGAAGCAGAGTGGACCAGGGCCCAGATGAGCCCTGGGGAGATTGCGGGGGTGGGAGAGGTTGCAAGGGGCAAGTGGGAAGAAGCCTGTTAACGTTTTAGGGCCACCAAGCCTTTCTGTGCCCCAAGCTAAGTGCCTGTACGCTTTACCGCACCTCACAAGGCTTGGTCTCCAGCGGTTGAGGCTGAAAGCACCGGGGTGGGGTGGAAAGGGTTCTGTCCAGGGAGACCAGATCCGCAGAGCCGAGTTCGGGCTAGGAGGTCCCTTTCTCGGTGGGAGACTGAGGCCGCCTTGGCGGGGCGGGACAAGACTCCTCCGAGGTCGGGAGAGGGGACCCCGCAGCAGCCCCTTGGCTTCCCTTCTCCCTTGCCTCCCCTCTGGGGCTCCGGTTCAGAGGCGCTCTGGGCGCCTGCCACGGCTTCCAAACTGCGCTGCTTCCTTCTTCGGCAGAAAAGGACTTTCAGATGTAGCGGCGGCAGCGGCGGCGGCGACTCAGGACAGCGCCCCCTCCCCCTAACGGCCGCCTCTCCCTCTCCCCCTCGCCCGCCCCGGCTCCCCCACCTCTGGGAAGGCGCTGGGGGTGTGGCCAGGGACCGGTATAAAGTCCGGGGGAGCCGGTCCCGGGCAGCCGCTCAGCCCTCTGCCCCCTCGCCGCCCGCCGCCTGCCTGGGCCGGGCCGAGGATGCGGCGCAGCGCCTCGGCGGCCAGGCTTGCTCCCCTCCGGTCCGCCTGCTAACTTCCCCCGCTCCGTCCGCGTTCGCCTGCCGGGCCGCCCCGTCTCCCCGCGCCCTCCAGGTCGGGTCCTCCAGGCGCGCCGGGCGCTGCCGCCGTGTGCCCTCCGCCGCCCGCCCGCGCGCCCGCGCTCCCCGCCTGCGCCCCGCGCCCTGCGCCAGCGCCCAGTCCTCGCGCGGTCATGCTGCCCCTCTGCCTCGTGGCCGCCCTGCTGCTGGCCGCCGGGCCCGGGCCGAGCCTGGGCGACGAAGCCATCCACTGCCCGCCCTGCTCCGAGGAGAAGCTGGCGCGCTGCCGCCCCCCCGTGGGCTGCGAGGAGCTGGTGCGAGAGCCCGGCTGCGGCTGTTGCGCCACTTGTGCCCTGGGCTTGGGGATGCCCTGCGGGGTGTACACCCCCCGCTGCGGCTCGGGCCTGCGCTGCTACCCGCCCCGGGGGGTGGAGAAGCCCCTGCACACACTGATGCACGGGCAAGGCGTGTGCATGGAGCTGGCGGAGATCGAGGCCATCCAGGAAAGCCTGCAGCCCTCTGGTAAGGTACCCCTGGCCTCCCAGTTCCCTCCTGAGTGCACTCCCTTCCCAGCGGCTTCTTCCCCATTCCAGCCACCCTGGAAGGCCCTTAAAAATCCCCCGTGAGTTGAAGAGAAGGCAGGTACGTGGCAGGGCCCGACTGGCATGGGACAGGCTCACCAAGGAAACTGCTACCGAGTCCCTAGCAGCCTGTTGCCATCACCAAGGGAGACTGTCCCATCGCTCCATCTGAAACCTCCAAGGGCTGTCTATTTGATAAGGGGGTCCCAGTGGGAGGCCTGGCTGCTGGTGCAAGAGTGGCAGATTAAGGTCCAGTTAAGTCAGCTGTCCAGGGCCAGAGAACTGGAGGATGGTGGTGGGGTGTGTGTTGGGGAGGATGGGGGAGGGGGGAAAGCTTTCTGTTCCTGATCCAGGCCGAGGGTGAAATCCCAGTGGTCTGGGGAGCTAGAGCCTGAACTTTTTTTTTTTTTTTTTACATGGTCCAGTGGTGGAGTGGGACATACAAATTAGAGGGACTTTGGCGGTGAGGAGCATTAGACTTGCCCTTCCCCAAAGCCCGGAACCAGGTCACCTTGTTGTTTGAGAGGCAGTGGGAAGACAGGGGTCCCTCTGCCAGTCCTGGGCACCTCTGCCTGCCCTGGTATACAGGCCCCCTGTTCTTCTCTCCAGGCAGGTATGATTTGAGGTGGCAGAAAAGTCTTGGCTCCCAGCCCAGAGCTGCTGAAACCTCATGTGTGTGGGTTAGGGAATAGAGAAGTGGATGGGGGGCCAGGGGAGAAAAACAGAGAGAGACAGAGAGAGAGAGAGAGAGAGACAGAGAGAGAGAGAGAGAGAGAGAGAGAGAGAGAGAGACTCTGAGAAGGCCCTTGCCCTAACCTCATTGTTACACTTTCTTTTTTTGTTTCTCAGTGAACCTTTCTCAGTTTCTTCTTAGACTCTCAGTGTCTTTTCCTTCTTTCTCTTGCTCTTTTGTTCTTCCTGATTTGTCTCTCAGCCTCTAGTTTCACTAGTCATGCTCTCCAGTTCTGTTTTCCTCAGTGTCTTCTGCTCATCATGCCTTTCTTTCTCCACTTTATTCCGTGTTTCTGTTTCAGTTGCTTTGCTTCTCTTCCTCTCTTTCTGTTGCTGTTTCTCTGTGTCTCTGTCACTGTTTCTGTCTTTCTCCGTTACTTTGGGAATCTCTCTGTCTGCCTTTCTGTATCTATGCCTCTGTTTCTCATTCCATCTCTGGCTCTGTTTTGCTCTCCTTTGCCTCTGTCTGTCTCTGTCTCTTTTCCTGATGCTTGAAGCTTCCATTGTTGCAGTCCGGATACTGGGACTCCAGCCCCAAGCTTCCTGTCCTGGGTCCCAAACCCTCTACTTCCTCAATCCTCTGCAGCTTGTCAGCTGAGGAGAGCAGGATGCAGGGAAAACAGGAAGGAGGTGGACTCCAGGGGTCTGGGCCTCGGGCCTCTCTGCCCTTCCTGCCCTTGGGTAGGGAGAGATGGGTCAGCAGAAAACATTCTCGGAGAAATGCCAGCCTGGCACCCGGCATATCTGAGAAGGGGGGTCCTGGGGGAGAAAGTCGCTAATCTTGGGGCAGAGATGCCGGAGGCAGTGGTAGAGGAGGGGTACTGAGACTGGGAGCAAGGCTGAGCCCTTGGGTTCTCAGGGTACAACAGGGTCACGTTCCCTTTGAATCTCCATCCTCCACCAGCCAGAGGGTATCTGACACCAGATAAGGATGGCTGCTAGCCTTCTCTTCTCTCAGCACTTTGAATGCAAGACAGAAGAGCCCTCAAAGGGCTGCATAGGAATACCTCATCCTCTGGTTGGGTTGGAATACTCCATCCTGTAGTGGAGGAAAATAAGATCCTCTAGGGGTTTGGGGAGGGCATGGCATGAAAAGTCCTTGGTTGTCCTCTGGATGTAATGCAAACTGGCCTCCAGGAGTCTCCAGGAGTGTCTAGGGTCTGAGTGTGGAGGTTCATGCTTGTAATCCCAGTACTTTGGGAAAATTACTTGAGGCCAGGAGTTCGAGACCATCCTGAGCAATATAGCCAGACCCCCATCTCTACAAAAAAAAAAAAAAAAAAAAAATTGCCAACTGCAGTGGCTCATGCCTGTAGTCCCAGCTACTTGGGAGTCTGAGATGGGAAGCTCAAGGTTACAATGAGCTATGATCACATGATTGCATTCCAGCCTGGGCGACTCTATTTCTCTATTTTGTTAAAAAAAAAAAAAAGTAGACTGGGCGCAGTGGCTCACGCCTGTAATCTCAGTACTTTGGGAGGCTGAGGAGGGTGAATCACCTGAGGTCAGGAATTTGAGGCCTGGTCAACATGGTAAAACCCTGTCTCAACTAAAAATACAAAAATTTGCTGGGCATGGTGGTGCCCGCCTGTGGTCCCAGCTACTCGGGAGGCTGAGGCAGGAGAATCACTTGAACCTGGGAGGTGGAAGTTGCAATGAACCAAGATTGCGCCAATGTGCTTTCACCTGGGTGACAGAGCGAGACTCCGTCTAAAAAACAAACAAACAAACAAACAAACAACAGTGTCTTGGAATGGGGCGGCTTTAAGTCCCCTTTGGATGACACAGCCAAGGTCTGTAATGCCCCTCCTCCTTTCCTCCTTGCCTTGTCTTCCAGCCATGCAATGGATGCAGGTATCTGGAGAGACAGGGAAAGCCTGGAGGTACCTACTGAACAAGCTATGCCCGTGCCCTCCCACACCTCCTAGTCATCATAGAAGTAATTCCGTTGCCTGGGACCGGGGCCACAGTGGGCGACCATCTGGTAACATGACCTCTACTAAATACATGCCGGCGGGGAGGCGCCTGTGTCCGCCGGGGTGGGGGGGGGCCGGAGGGGAGCTGCAGTGGCTGAGATCGGCACTGCATCCAGCTGGACAGAGACCCGTCTAAAAAAAAAAAAAAAAAAAAAAAAATGCTGGAAAATGAAAGCACTCTAGAGTTCTGCTGCAGCCCTGCAGGGTCTGTGGGTGAGATAAGGTGACCAAGCCTCTACCCACCCATCTTTTTAGCCTTACACAGTCAGTAGGCCACTGTCTGCTTTAGGTCCCAAGGATTGGGCCCACTGGCCTGCGAATAGCTTGATCGAGGCTACCCGTCTATTCTTTCTGCCTTTTCTTTTTGAGGCTGAGTGTCAGCAGGTGGCTGGGGGAGGGTGGCCACTTGGCATGCCTCCTTCTTTGGCTGCTATGGTCCAGCTGCCTCTTGTTTGCCCCAGGGGCAGATCTCCTCTTTCCATCTCCAGCCACCCCCACCCGCCCTCCTGTCTCAGCTTTCCATGAGCTGGCCAGGTTGTGGCTTAACACCACTGAGGCCATCAGAGATGAGGCGGGGTATGTGCGTCAAAAGTCCACAACTCTCCATCTTGGTACTGATCCTTGACTCATGGAATCTGGGGGAGTGGACAGCGGAAAGATCAGCGTTTGGACGGGGAGTTCCTAAGCTGGACTCTCAGTCCCTTTGGGACAGGGTTAGGGAACAGGCAGGCTGGGTTAATTTTTAGTCAATGCAGCAAATACTGACTGCCCCCCTACTTCAGTACTGGGAATCCAGTTATGTCATGGGAACAAGGGCATTCCCAGAAATTCTGTGCCTTGTGGGGAGGGGGAGGGAGGAGCATGGCCGCTTCCCGTTTTTAATTTAGTGCTGGCAAAGCCAGCAGTATTGGTGCCTCGGGTATCAGGAGTCTTTCCACTTAAAGACAGAGTGCTGCAGAGCTAAGTCTCTCCTCCTCCCCTTCCACCAAGTCTACTTCAGTTTCCTAATTTGCAAAGTGGGGAGGGCAACAGGACCTGCCTCACAGCGTTGGCGTGTCTGGCATGGGGTAAGAGCTCAATAATTGAAGTGACGATGAAGATGGTGATGAAGAAGAAGCCGATGCTAGGACTTAGGGAAACAGTAGGACAAGGGAGCAAATTTGGGGCAACATTCAGAGGCGTTGAGAGCGGTGGGGTGGCCTTTGGTGCATTTTGCTGCTGTCACCATGGGAAGAACAGGCCAAGTTGTTTTATCTGACTTTTTATTCTGAGGCTGGCAGCATGACACAGCTGTTGGGGGGATACCCCTTGAGCCAGACCTCAGAGAAAGGGCCTGATACCCAGCACCAGTGGTCTTGGCTTCTCCAGCCAGAGTCTAGGGGAAGAGGGAAAAGACCTTTCTAGCAGGACAGGTGGGTGACCCTCTGGATCGCAGCTGAAATTTCTGGTCGGGATGGATGGGCCCACTCAGTACATAGCCTAGGTGTCTCTCAGGGGCCGGGGGTGGTGTTGGGGAGAAATCATGAGGGTAAAATCAGGCAACAGGAAAGAGGAAATCCTCTGACTTTTGCCACAAACTTTGCAGCTGGTGGTGCCACAGCTGTGTGGCCTCTTCCCTCTGACACCTCCCTTCCTCTCTGACACCTTCCCTTCCTCTGCTGCTGGAGCAAAGACCGAGGTTTCCCCTATAGCCAGATGTCAGCTGGCTTAGCTCCAAGCTGGGGGCTATAGGAGGACCAAGCCTGCTTGGAAGTCCCATCTCCCAAATAAGCTTTTTGGAGGTCAGACTTTTCAGGGGAATAGGTCTGACTCCACTCCTGCTCAGAGGGGAACCCACAGGCACTGAAATTTCTCCAGAGGGCACTACCAGGATGAGTGGCACCAGGTGGCTGGAAAATAGCAAGTATTTAGCCAGTTTTGGAGATGAGAAGGTTAACGTTATCAAGAGACTCAATGCTGTAACCCTTACCCCCACAAAAACCTAGTGCTTAGGGGCGGATCCTGGGGTGGCTCTTCAGTCTGCCAGTTAAGCAGGGTTGGGCAAGGAAAAGTTACAGATTACATGGAAAGTCAACAAACCACGGTGCAGAGAAGCTGTTGAAGTCAGCATGCCCTGCCCTGGCTCTGTGTCTCTGACCAGGGCAGGGTCAGAGTGCCCAAGTGCATGTGGGTAAGGCACATGTGGATGAGTATGTGTCTGGACACGTGATTGTTTGTATACATTTGCGATTCTTGAGCCCCAGCCTGTCTGTGTGTGAGTAGGCAAATACAGATTTACCCTGTGTCCCCATGAGACTAGGGAGGGAGCTACTCTCCCTATCTGGTGGGTTCTACTCTGTGTAGACAAGAACTGGGGATAAGTAGGATGGCTAATGGGGACTCTAACAAGGGAGAAGCCAGGCAGGCTGCTGGCTCAGCTTTTCCCAGGTAACCCCTGATGTGACATGGGGCCACACTAACCCAAGAGCATGAGCCATGCCTCTGGTCTCACCCTGTGCTCCATGCAGCCCTAGGCTTCAATGAGCATACCTAATCCTCCTTGATGGTAAACATCCCAAATATCCATTAACAATCCTCTGAGGGTTAGTTGTTTGTGAACTTTGACTCATACAAACTCAGCATTGTGGCTCACACCTGTAATCCTAGCACTTTGGGAAGTCTAGGTAGGAGGATCACTTGAGGCCAGGAGTTTGAGACCAGCCTGGGGCAACATAGTGAGACCCTGTCTCTTAAAAAAAGAGAGCGAGAAGAAGAAACTCAACATGGAAAGCATAGTTGTGGTCATGCTTCTATTCCATATCTCTTGAGATTTTTGAGGCTGCTGCTACCCTAATGTTCCACACCTCCAGGATGGGAGCTCGCTCCTGAAAACTCTTCCCCGCTCCTTGAACTCCTGAAAACCCTTCCTTACTCCTTGAACCAAAGAATATTCTGCCCATTTACTGAGAGGAATGAATCACTGTACAAAATAGTGCTTGCTTTTTTAAAAAATTGAGACAGGGTCTCACTTGTTGCACAAGCTGAAGTGCAGTGGCTTGATCACTGCTCACTGCAGCCTCGACCTCCTGGGCTCAGGTGATCCTCCCACCTCAGCCTCCCAGGTAGGTGGGATTACACGTGTGCATCACCACACCAGGCTAATTTTTTGTGGAGATAGGGTTTCATTATGTTTCCTAGGCTGGTCTTGAACTCCTGGGCTCAGCGATCCACCTATCTCGGCCTTCCAAAGTGTTGGGATTACAGGCATGAGCCACCCCGGCTGGCCCCTAGTACTTTCTTTTATGGTCATTACAAGAAAGCAAACTCAGGAAAAACAAAGGCTTTCCAGGTTGGAAGGGTGCCCCCTGGTGTTAGTGTCCTGGGCTGTGGCAAACAAGTCTACGTGATCTCCTCCAGTCGTACCTAAGTAACATGGTGGGGCCTTTGTTCATATCTCAGCTCAGCCTCTGTCCTTCTGACATTTGGTTCTGATTCTTTAGTTCTCGAATTTTTTGTTTGTTTGTTTGTTTTTGTTTTAAGAGACAGGGTCTCGCTGTGTTACCCAGGCTGGAGTGCAGTGGCGCAATCATAGCTCACTGTAGCCTTGATGTACTGGGGTCAAGCAATCCTCCCACTTCAGTCTTCTAAGTAGTTAGGACCACAGGCATGTGCTACCACATCTGGCTATTTTTTTTTTTTTTTTGGTAGAGACAGGGTCTTGCTATGTTGCCCACGTTAGTCTTGAACTCCTGGCCTCAAGTGATCCTCCCACCTTGGCCTCTCAAAGCACTGGGATTACAGGTGTGAGCACCCAGCCTGGTTCTAATTCTTTGAGGTCTTCCATTTCCTCTTTCTCTCCACTCCCCAGCTCCAGCTTACACCCCTGAAACACTGTGACTCCATCCTCAAGCCTTATGGCTTTGTGCAAGGTGGAGGCATGGAGGGAGGTGATCACTGGGCCAGCTTAGGTTTCTTTGGCTGGAGGAATTCCTTGGGAGGGTCTCCAAGGAATGGCCTAGATCCCAGATCTTTCTCTGGTTCCTAACCGAGGGCTCAGGATCCATCTTCTCATGGGCTCCTTGGCACAATCCTCATCTTCTGAAGTTTATGCTTCTTCTTTTGCTGCCTACCTTGGCCGGGGGGTCTTGCTATAGTGTCTTCTCTTTGGTTGACTCTTAGGAACTTGATGTAGGACTGGAGTCCCCTCTGGACTGTCCTTGGGATTTTAAATGTGCAAAAGGATGGATTATATCTGTCTCCTCTGTTTATTTCTTTCCTTTTATTCCTCTTTCTAAGCCAGCCCTCCACCGTGACAAAAATCTTCTTCCATCCTTAGTGAATTTTATTAATAACCTTTGGTGTGGAAGGTTATTGACAAAGACTTTCTGGTTAGATTCCTCCTTGCCTTGTTTGCTTTTATCTACATATTTCTCCCTACACCCCCCAAACTAGGAGAATGAAAAGAGAACCAACCCCCAAACTTTGGCTAGGCAGAAAAATACCATTTGACCCAGAGGCAGCTCTGGGATCGCTGCCACGCATGGAGGAACCTGCTAACTCCTCAGGAAAAAAAAATCCTGACGCAAACCAGATGTAACCTCCTGTCCGGCTGCCAACATCTGGAATGCTGGCAGGGGCTTTGCACTCAGGCCGGCAGAGAGCTGCCAAGCCTGAGCATTTCAGAGGTGGCTCTGATCTGTAGAGAGGTCTTTCAACCTCTTTCTCCAGCTCGCCCTGTAATCTGGTTTTGACTGCCTGGAGGGAGGAGCAGTGGTTACAGTTCTGGGACTCGAGCATGGGGTTTTTCTTTTTTTAAAAAATGTATTTTGTTTTATTTTTTAAGAGACGGGGTCTTGCTCTGTCACCCAGGCTGGAGTGCAGTGGTGTGATCATAGCTCACTGTTAACCTGGAATTCCTGGGTTCAAGTGATGCTCCCGCCTCAGCCTCCTGAGTAGCTAGGACTACAGGCACATGCCACCATACCCGGTTAATTAAAAAATTTTTTGTAAAGATGGGGCCTTGCCATGTTGCCTAGGCTGGTCGCAAACTCCTGGCCTTAAGTAATCTTCCTTTCTCAGCCTCCCAAAGTGTTGGGATTACAGGCATGAGCCACAATGCCCTGTTTAGATGAAGTTTTTCTTGAGCTCAGATAGAGCCTTCAGGAGATCCCACAGAGGGGTTGAAGGTCCAGCCTCATCACTCCTGTCTCCAGATCCCAGGTGCCCTGGTTCTGGGCAACCCCTATGGACTTTGGATGGAGTCTGAAGTCTAAGAAGGGAAACTTCCAGGTGGGGGACTGAAGGAATGTGTGAGGCTGTTCTTGTGGTCCTGGGACCACACAGGTTGTATTACACACACACACATACACACAAACACACACACACTCACTCTTCCTCATGCAGGCGGATACACTAACTCCCACTCTCTCCCACCCAGCCAATGGGGAAAGCCTTTTGGGCTAGAGTTCTCATTGCTCATGGAAACTCTGATTCTGGCCATTTGGAAGAGGGTGAGCAGAGCCCACAGCCCTGGGGATCCCCTGGCTGGCTCAGCCAGCCACCGAAAAAATCAGGAAAGGCGACAGGGAGAACGATCAGATGGAGAGGGGGATGGCGGGAGGAGCTGAATGGAAAGGGGACAGGATCCAGCAGGGGGCCCCCCTGCCTGCCTCAGACCTCCCTGCAGGGCCCAGGGGACCCTCCTGCCATCTGGGCAGCTGCAGCTGGTGACTCATCTGAGCACTGGCCTGGGTGGGGTGAGGGACAAGTCAAGGACTTCAAGAGGAATATTCTGAGAGATCCAGGGGAGAGGGGAGGAGGTAGGGGGCTGCTTTTGTTTCTTCCTGCTCCCCAGGTCCCCTGCTCTTCTCCAGCTCCAAGCCGGAGAATCCCCAGGAAGGAGAACGTGGGTGGGAGGCTGGGTTGGTGTGATGCTCTGACCTCTTCTGGTGCTGACCTCTCCTTATCGTGACCTGAATGCAGACAAGGATGAGGGCGACCACCCCAACAACAGCTTCAGCCCCTGCAGTGCCCATGACCGCAGGTGCCTGCAGAAACACTTCGCCAAAATTCGAGACCGGAGCACCAGTGGGGGCAAGATGAAGGTCAATGGGGCACCCCGGGAGGATGCCCGGCCTGTGGTAAGGACCTCTGATGCACAAATGTGCATGTGCATAGACACACACACACACACACGCCCCTCGCCCCCAAGCAGGCACACACACATACACCATCATCACCAGATCTGTGGTGTGTTCATTCAGCACACATTCTAGGGTGTGTGCAAGGTACAACTAGTGTGAGTCATCAGGACCCAGAGAAAGCACTCATTCCCTTCCTTGGGATTCCTTTCCTGCCCATCAGTTATATCCATCGGGACAGCTTAAGTGATTATTAAATACTGAAAAATACTGAAAATATTATTCAGTATTATTAAATACTGAAAAACTTTTATACCGGTTGGTAAAAAGCAGTTGCCCAAAGTGCCCTGGGGTTTCTTGACCTTTTTTGGATTCCCCACCCCAGACCTTCTCAGTAACCAAAGGATAAATGCTGGCCATAGCAGGGGGCCTGAGGACCCTGCTTCAGGGTCTGGCTAATGTCCCTTCTGAAGGTCTTACAAGTTGTCAGTTGTAAGTTTTATCTGTCCCTTCTGCATAGAAATCACCCCCTCCCTGGCTTTCTGCATAGGTTCCCACAGCCCCTTTCCCCACAGTGTCCCCTCACTTCCCACCCCTCCTTTGAAGAAGCTCTTTGGCTCGAGACCCTTTCCTTCATGTGTCTGCCCTCCCCACTGTGTCCTCTGGACCCAGGCCCCTCTCTTCACCTCACTGGGTCCTGCCCAGCCCCCGGGGCTCGGGCCTCCTTTTGGGGCCTTTAGTTCCCACTTAGCTCTGACCCCAGGCCTGGGCCTCCTGCCTCTCTTCCTTCTGCTGAGCAATTTTGTTCTCCCCTCCTCCAGCCCCAGGGCTCCTGCCAGAGCGAGCTGCACCGGGCCCTGGAGCGGCTGGCCGCTTCACAGAGCCGCACCCACGAGGACCTCTACATCATTCCCATCCCCAACTGCGACCGCAACGGCAACTTCCACCCCAAGCAGGTGGGTCTCTGTCTCCCGCCGGCTTGCCCCTGGCCTCAGCTCTGGGGCATTCCCAGCCTCGATGGTCCAGGATGGAGATCTCAGGAAGGGGGAACTCCTCAACCCCAACCCAACCCGTTGGAGCCTCCCTAAACCCTACATCAGCGTCAAAACGTCACTCATTTTGGAGATGAGGAAACGGTGATCCAGAGAGGAGTAAAAGCGCCTGGGCTAGTCCAGAGTCATAGAGCAAGTTAACAGCAGATCTTGCCTCCCTATCCAGGGCACTTTCCCTCAGCCCTGGATTTCACCATCTCTGGTACAGACCTAGCAACCCTGACAACCTCTGGCTCCCAACACTCTCTCATTCACTCTACTCTATTCCTATGAGTCATTCCTCCTGCCACTGAGTGAGGTTTCATCTGGGAATGGAGGGCCAAAGTCATGAGGAGTCAGGGAGGAAACTCAGCCTCCCCCTCCCTGCAGGGCGAGCAGCAAAACCACCTGGAGTACAGCAAGGGTGGAGGTCAAGCCAGACTGGATGGTTGGAGACAGGCACTTTGGGTAGAAGCAGAGGAAGGAGTGGGCAGGAGAGAAGACACAAAGGCAGCAACTTCCCTATTCCTTCTTGCCCTTGGAAGCTGGGGTCCTCTGACAAGCCTCCAAGAGGCTGGGATGGTCAGCAGGGTTGGCCTCTTTCAGCCCATCTCTGGCCGTCAGAATGGGTGGCCCATCTGGGCAGGGCCTGGTGTGCCTCCTGCTGGGTGTGGCCTGGGGAACCCTAGCCTGGAGCTCTTTGTGGGTGTAGACAGACCCATTGCCCTGCTCCATGAGCTATAGATAAATCCACAATTTGAGCTGCCACTCGGCCAGTGGAGGCCTAGATATAAGGACAAAGGCTGCCCTGGGTCTGTGCATCCCAGGATGGCATGAAAAGGGTATGAGTGAAGGGCCAGAGAGGGCACCCCAAAACCAATGCCTAGCCTATTTCTAACCTTTATCCTAACACGGATTTTATCTTCGTCCCAATTTAAAAAACTTTTTCTTGGCCGAGTGTGGTAGCTCACGCTTGTAATCCCAGCACTTTGGGAGGCCGAGGAGGGCGGATCAGGAGGTCAGGAGATAGAGACCATCCTGGCTAACACGGTGAAACCCCGTCTCTACTGAAAATACAAAAAATTAGCCGGGCATGGTGGCGGGTGCCTGTAGTCCCAGCTACTCGGGAGGCTGAGGCAGGAGAATGATGTGAACCCGGGAGGCGGAGCTTGCAGTGAGCCGAGATCACACCACTGCACTCCAAGCTGGGTGGCAGAGCGAGACTCTGTCTCAAAAAAACAAAAACAAAAACAAAAAAACAAAAACACCTTTTTCTCTTAATTTTAAAGAAACAATTAATAGCTTTAGTTTTTAGAGTAGTTTTAGGTTTATAGAAAACAATCAAGAGTACAGAGTTTCCATGTACTGTCCTCTACCTCAGTTTCCTCATTATTAACATCTTACATTATATTTGTTGCAATTGATGAACCAATATTGGTATATTATTATTAATTAGTGGTTTATATTAGGGTTCACTTTTTGTGTTGTATAATTCTATGCATTTTCTTCTCCCATTTTTTTTTTTTTAGAGACAGGGTCTCACTCAGTCTCCCAGGCTGGAGTGCAGTGGTACCATCACAGCTCACTGCAACCTCCACATCCTGGGCTCTCGTGATCCTCCTACCTCAGCCTCCTGAGTAGCTGGGACCACAGGCACACAACTATGTCAGGCTAATTTTTTTTTGTTTTGTTTTGAGACAGAATTTGGCTCTTGTTGCCGAGGCTGGAGTGCAATGGCGGAATCTCTGCTCACTGCAACCTCCACCTCCCGGATTCAAGCGATTCTCCTGCCTCAGCTCCTGAGTAGCTGGGATTACAGGTGCCTGCCACCACGCCTGGCTAATTTTTTGTATTTTTAGGAGAGATGGGGTTTTGCCATGTTGGCCAGGCTGGTCTTGAACTCCGGACCTAAAGTGATCCACCCACCTTGGCCTTCCAAAGTGCTGGGATTACAGGCGTGAGCCACCATGCCTGCATGCCAGGCTAATTTTTTTTTTTTTTTTTTTTGTAGATGGAGTCTCATGCTCTGTCCTCTAGGCTGGAATGCAGTGGCATGATCTTGTCTCACTGCAACCTCTGCCTCTTGGGTTCACTCCATTCTCCTGCCTCAGCCTCCTGAGTAGCTGGGACTACAGGCGTGCCACACTGCCTGGCTAATTTTTTGTATTTTTAGTAGAGACAGGGTTTCACCGTGTTAGCCAGGATGGTCTCGATCTCCTGACTTCGTGATCCGCCAGCCTCGGCCTCCCAAAGTGCTGGGATTACAGGCGTGAGCCACCGCGCCCAGCCTATGCCAGGGTAATTAAAAAAAAAAAAATTTGCATAGAGATGGAGGGGTCTCTCTTTGTTGCTCAGGCTGGTCTCAAACTCCTGAGCTCAAGCGATCCACTGCCTCTGACTCCCAAAGTGCTGGGATTACAGGCTTGAGCCACTAGGCCTGGCCTCTTCCTCTGATTTTTATCCCATTGAAAGTTCTGACACTTGAACTTTATCCCCAGACCAATTCTGATCCTTAAGCCATCCTTTACTCCAAGTTTAATTCTCACACTGAAATATACATTTGCGTTCCCTGAACCCCCTACTGTCTAGTTTTGACCCAAACTTTCGCTTAACTTTAATTATTCTGATCTTGACCTCTGTCTTTATCCCAATTGTGTTTCTAACCTGGGCTTTAACCCTCACCCAACTCATCCAACTCAAATTTTAGTCATATTTCCTAATTCAACTGCAACTCTTCTCCTGGTCCTACCTTAATCCCATCTTGAATCCTACTCATAACTATAATCCCTTTCTTAACATCCCAACCCAATCAGAATATGTACCCAAAACATCTCTGACCTGAACCCAGCCTTTCAAATCCAGCTGTGCCTTTAAACCTGAGGGCCTTCTTAAGGTCCTGCCTTCTAGAACTCTCTGGACCTTTCCTTCTTGACCGTGTTCTCCCTGCTTCAGTGAGCTCAGAAGACCCATGCTCAAAAGAGAGTCACCGCCCTCAGAGGCCATCTTGAAGCAGCAACCGTCTGACTTGGGGGCTGGGCTGGGATTGGGGTGGGCCACTTGGGGTCTCTTTTCCTGCCTTGGAACTGACTCCTCATGCCCTTCTCTTGGCAGTGTCACCCAGCTCTGGATGGGCAGCGTGGCAAGTGCTGGTGTGTGGACCGGAAGACGGGGGTGAAGCTTCCGGGGGGCCTGGAGCCGAAGGGGGAGCTGGACTGCCACCAGCTGGCTGACAGCTTTCGAGAGTGAGGCCTGCCAGCAGGCCAGGGGCTCAGCGTCCCCTGCTACTCCCGTGCTCTGGAGGCTGCAGAGCTGACCCAGAGTGGAGTCTGAGTCTGAGTCCTGTCTCTGCCTGCAGCCCAGAAGTTTCCCTCAAGTGCACGTGTGCATGTGTGCGTGTGTGTGCGTGTGTGTGTGTTTGTGAGCATGGGTGTGCCCTTGGGGTAAGCCAGAGCCTGGGGTGTTCTCTTTGGTATTACACAGCCCAAGAGGACTGAGAGTGGCACTTTGCCCAAGAGGTCTGAGCCCTGGTGTGTTTCCAGATCGATCCTGGATTCACTCACTCACTCATTCCTTCATTCATCCAGCCACCTAAAACCATTTACTGACCACATACTACATGCCAGCTCCAGTTTTCAGCCTTGGGAGGTTTTATTCTGACTTCCTCTGATTTTGGCATGTGGAGACACTCCTATAAGGAGAGCTCAAGCCTGTGGGAGAAGAAAAATCTCATTCCCAGGGTCAGAGGAGAAGACACATGTACCTTGACCATCGTCCCTCCTCTCAAGCTAGTCAGAGGGTGGGAGCCTAAGGAAGCATGGGGTAGCAGATGGTGTAATGGTCACGAGGTCTAGACCCACTCCCAAAGCTCGGACTTGCCAGGCTCCCTTTCTCTTCTTCCCCAGGTCCTTCCTTTAGGTCTGGTTGTTGCACCATCTGCTTGGTTGGCTGGCAGCTGAGAGCCCTGCTGTGGGGGAGGGAAGGGGTCAAACTTGAAGCACAGAGGGCTAGGGAGGTGGGGTGCATTTCTTTGAGCAGTCAGGGTGGGAAGAAAGAATGCAAGAGTGGACTGAATGTGCCTAATGGAGAAGACCCACGTGCTAGGGGATGAGGGGCTTCCTGGGTCCTGTTCCCTACCCCATTTGTGGTCACAGCCATGAAGTCACCAGGATGACCCTGTCCTTCTAGTGGCTCACTCCCTGTGGCTCTGCCTCCCTCTCCATATCTCCTTCCCCTACACCTCCCTCCCCACACCTCCCTACTGCCCTGGGCATCTTCTGCTTGACTGGACAGAAGGAGACTTAGGAACTTACCAGTTGGCCATGATGTCTTTTCTTCTTTTTCTTTTTCTTTTTCTTTTTTTTAACAAAACAGAACAAAACCAAAAAGTGTCCAGAGGATTGTGTTTGGTTGATTTATTCTCAGTTAGACACAGGGATGCACCAGGGGTGGAGAGAGGGGGACAGATTTTGGGAGGTGAGCATTGTGTGGTTCCTAGACCTGCCTGAATGGTAAGGGACTGCAGAAGGATGGCCAATCCACCTTCCTTTTCCCTGCAAGGGAAGTTTCCTAGGGAACTCCTTGGCTTCAACGTCTGTGCTGTCTGTACTTAGACTCCGGGCAAACAATGGCTCCTGAAAGGGGGCGTGACCAAGGACAGCCCTGTGGGGGCAGAGCTGTGTCTGGGGTCAGCTGGCATGCGGGGCTGGGGCATTTCCTAGGGCATCGGGCGGACTGGGCTTGCATCTGGATTTGATTTAATAATTTGTTGGGGAGGGGCAGGGACACTGCCCTGCATTTGGGGAAATGGGGTAGATGCTTCAGCACATTCCACAGCTCTGACTGCCGAGATCTCTGACTCGGGCATTGTGCTGAGATTGGATTCTGAGGCTGGGAGGGGTTGACTTTGCTGCAGACTCGGTGCCAGCCACAGCTTCAGAGTTTGTGCTCACATGGTATGACTGGATTCTTGGCCATCCTCCAAATGCCCCTCCCCTGCCACACCTCTGTGCTCTCTGTGTGTGTGTGGGGGGGCAGGGGGTAGGGGGTCTGTGTGTGTGTGTGTGTGGCAGGGGGTAGGGGGTCTGTGTGTGTGTGTGCGCGCGCGTGTGTGTGGGGCAGGGGGTAGGGGGTCTGTGTGTGTGTGCGCGCACGCGCGTGTGTGTGTGGCAGGGGGTAGGGGGTCTGGGAGCAGAAGCTGATCTCTCAGTGGGGGCCTTTTTCCATGAGGTTGCAGGCAGTCTGGAGATGCTGCATGGTGCCTGCCGCCCGCTGTGGGGGCTCCCTCCTGTCTAGCTGTGTCCTGGATTCTCAGCCCCCTCCCCAGCTCCAGAGGCGCTCCCAGGCTTCTGATTTCGCTGGGCCCCAACTTTGTTGGCACCTGTCCGGTCTGCATCTTGAGGCTGGGTCTGCAGTTCCATCTCTAGCTCTGCCCCAGCAGCAAAGTCCTGCAGCCATCTGGTCTCCCTGAGGCACCACGGCGGCTGCCAGCAGCAGGAGATAAAGAACAAAGCGGGGTTGAGGGTTGCTCCCTCAGCCCCAGTCACTCTTCACAGAGCCCCCTCCTTCTGGAGCCCAGGCCAAGGGAAAGTAACTCTTTCCCTAAGGCATCTTTTTCAGCCCCCCTTGTCTCTAGGCCCCTTCCCGATGCTCTAGCCTTGCACCCTTGGCAGTGGTGGTAGGAGGTCCTTTTTCTTTCATGAGCCTCCCCAAAAAGCCCAGTCGGCTTGGAAGTAGCTGTGTGCATGGCGTGGGTGTACCTTCGTGACACACATGCATTTGTGGAGTATGTGTGTGTGCATGCATGTGAGTGAGTACGATGCAGTGATACCTGAAACGTGAGAGCGTATGGGCTTTTTGGGGATGTGCATGCCTGTTTGATGTGTGAAGGCAAGGTGTGCATTTGTGTGGTGTGTATATGTGGTGTGTGCATTTGTGTGGTGTGTATATGTGGTGTGTGCATTTGTGTGGTGTGTATATGTGGTGTGCATTTGTGTGGTGTGTATATGTGGCGTGTCTGAGTGTGAACACGTGTGCGATGTGAGGAGAGAGGGAGTGAGACATTCACGGAACACACATGTCCCGCCTGGCTGTGGATGAGTGGACTCTCGCTCATTAGGTGATCCCGCCTCAGGGTTTGTGGGGAGATGTCTGCCACTAGAGAATAAACATGTACTTTTGGGAGAGGACTTTCACATCACAGAGAAACACTGCCGTATCCAGCCTTCATGCCCACAGGATCCTGGAGCCAGGTCCTAAGTACCAAAAAGCAAAAGCAGCTTCATGTTTGCACCTAGGCCCTCCCACCCTTGAAATGGTGGGAATACCCGAATGGTCTCTCTAGTTGCCACAGGGGTGTCAGCACCTCTGGGAAATGTGGGAGGGAGGTCCTGGTGGCACCACCAAACCTGGATGGACTTGAGAAATGAAGTCCTTGAGTGCTCTGCCCTGCCTCCTGGAGACATGTCATTCCCTCCCACTGGCTTGGAGCAGGGGATGGGACATCCCGCCTGCCAGCAACCCCTAGCTGATCTACATAAAGCATTTGGTTTCCATTTCCCAGCTCACTAGTGGAGATCAAGCCCTGATGTCGGCTGGGGGTTGGGGGCTGGGTTTTCCACTGGCAAGAAGGTGGGGTGGGAGGAGGGAGGAAAAATGGAGACCTGAACTGATTCCAGCCTTGGATTCAGGTTGGGGAATCTCTGGAGAGCTGGCCAAGCCTCCTGGCCCTGCTTGCTCTTCAGGCCCTGAGGTTCCAGCCACTGCAGTCCCCCACCTCTTTCCAGGAAAAGGCTGGTTGTCCTAACCCCGCTGTCCCCTGAGCCACATTCTGCCACCAAGCTGCTCCAGGAATGTTATGAGGCATGCAGGATTTGGGGCGCCTGCTCAGTCCTCCTTCCCAGTGTAGGGGGCTGTTATACGGCTGTGTGGTAAATGGCCTGCAACATTCCCTGACAGAGACTCCCCCTGTATTCCAGGCCTCTCTGACCTCGAAAGAGAAGGTCGGTGTTGGGTCGGGACTGTGGGGCAGACTTTTGGGCACACCCGTGGAGAAGCAGACACTGCTGCAGCCAACCAAGGGTCTAATTAGATCCTCACTCCCAGAGTGACCCTTCCCCTCTTATGTCTGAAGCCCCAGGGTTGGGGAGGGTGGGGTCAGGGAGTAGAAGTTGGGGGAGTAGCTGCAGATAATTAGAAACATGCTCTACTGAATGAGCAGGCGCCACCAGGACCACCCCTCCCCTCACCCCTACTCCCCAACCTCTTTTCCTTAGGTCCCCAACCCCCTTCCCTTCTACCTGGACAATTCCAGCCAAACTGGGGGAGGCGCTGGTGGAGCCTGAGAGCAGCAACTCGGTGGGGTTGGCTTCCTAGGCCCTTACACAGTCTCTAAAGTGCAAACAACATATTTTCGCCATGCAATAGGATTTAATTACACATAAAAACAGAGCCATTAAACTGAAATTAAACCCTTGTTGGAATCACTTAATTCAGGGCATGACAAATTGCTTTCAGTGGAGGCGGCAGTGCAGTCCCCCGGGGAAAGATGGAGATTAGTGGCTTCCATGGCTGGCTGGGTCCCCCCCTTCTCTTGGTCCCCTTGCCAGCTCTAAATTCTGAAATTGGGGTCAGAACCCTTTTTCTGAAGACCACCCAAGCCAAGGGGAAGCCTCTAGGTTCGTTCAGGAGGATAGGAATGGAGGGTTGGGGAATTACAGAATCACTGTCCAACCCAGATTTAGACAACCCAGTACATTTTATTGATGGGTAAGTCAAGGCCCAGACACCAAGGTCATCCAGAGCCAGGATTAAAACTCTGGCGCTAAGCCGTAACTAGAGAGGCTGTTTTTTTTCCCTCAGGCTTGTGTCCTTTGACCTTGGGCTTGAAGACAGAGATTGAGGTTGGGGCCACATGGATAAGGGGTGGGAACCAAGGCAGACCCCGGATGGGGATGGTGGACTTCTCCAGAACTAGATTCCCACCTGGTCAACATCTGGAGACAGTGGGAAAGGGAAAATGGCCCTGGGGTTTGGGCGGTCGAGGCGGCCTTCACTTCTGGTGGGCAGCCTGGAGCCCAGACTCGATTCAGGCAGACCTGGCTGCTGACCACCTGAGTGAGGTTGGGCAGGTAAGACCTTCTGCTCCTGTGAACCTATGTTTTCCCATCTGTCAAATGGGAATGGTAATTCCTATCTAGAGTTGTGGAGACCATTAGATGGGCATGATGCATGAACAGGCTTGGGGCTGAGCTCACTAGGTTCTCTTAGACTTCCTTCTCTGGACTTCAGTTTCCCCATTTATAACAAGATCCAGCTGGAATCTGATGGCTTTTAGAAGCTTTGCTTGCTCTTTTTATGTTGGCAGCCCTTCTTCCTCCCTCTAGCCCCTTCCTTTCCTTCCCTTTCCTTCCTTCTTCTGTGGATTGAATGTCTAACTATGGACAGAAGTCTGGGGCTGTGGTCAGGTGATTAGGTAGGAAAGGGAGGTCCACGCCCCCTAAGGTTTCCCTGCCCCACGTGGCCCTCCGGTGGCTGTGTGTGAGGCCCATCTGGAGGGTGAAAGGAGACCAAATGGGACAGGGGCTGCAGTCGGGAGGGGCTTGGGGGTCCTGCAGCAAGGGCGGGCTGCTTGTTGTCTGTGGCCTCCCTCCCCATGTATCCTCTATGGTCTGGGAACCTGTTCTCCTGATTGGAACCAGATGGGTCTGCTGCGGCTGGAGGCCTAATCTGTCTACTCACTCCGTGTCCTCCCCCAGGAGAGGAGGTGGGGGTAGACCAAGGGCGAGTGGTGGAGGTGTGTGTGGGCTCGCTTTTCGCAGGGGCTGGGAGGGAGACTCCTTCTTCCCTTCTCCGTCTCTCTAGGCTTGTGGCCTGGAAATCTTTCTATTAGCCCACAGAGGGTGGCCAGCTGTGGACAGCCTCTCACCGAGGCTTGGGTGGGCAGTTTGCTACCTTACCTGATGCCATCCTCTAGGAGCAGTACCCACTGCCCTCACCTCCCTACCCTGCCCCCCATTCTCAGAGCTCAGCTCAGCTGCAGACTGTCAAGTGA